TTTCACCATGTGATCTAGACGGCGGGAAAGCCCGTCTGCTAGGTTATCCTTTCCTCGCCTCCACTGGATATGAAAGTCGTATGCGGCTAGTACTTTAGCCCACCGCATTTAACGCCTATTCAATACCTTCGTGATCATGAAACTCTATAGCGCTTCATGGTCTGTGAGGACAATCGTGCTAGTCGTAGGGGCCTCAAGGTAATGTCTCTATATCTTGAAGGCGTGCACAATAGCTAACATTTCCCCATCTCCCGTATAGTAATTCTTCTTAGCGTTATTCATTTTGCGAGAGAAGAATGCAACCGGCCTCCATAGTGTGCGACCCCCTTGCGACTCGTAGGCTTATATCAGCACACCGCCGATAGCTTGGCCTAAGGCGTCTACTTCAACGCGAGATTGTTTCTCCAGGTCAAAGTGAGCCAGCATAGGCGCTGTCTTGAAGTAGTTCTTTAGCTTGCGAAACGCATGCGAAGCGTCTGCGGTCCACTCGAATGGTCCTGTTTTCTTGCTAGCGATTATCCCCTTAAGGAGGTTTGTGATAGGAGCTACTACTACCGAGTATCGATAAACGAACCCTCGATAGAAGTTGGCAAATCCTAAGAAAACCTGGATCTCCCGGAAAGTCTTTGGTTCAGGCCATTCTTCGATCGCCGCGACCCTACTAGGGTCCATCGAGACGCCGTCGACTCCTACGCGATACCCTAGGAAGTTAACTTCTTGCTCAAAGAACTTACACTTCGACAATTTTGTATAGAGGCTATAACTCTTTAGCCTCTCAAGCACGAGTAGCAGATGTTTCTTATGCTCCTCTTCGTTGGCACTAAAGATAAGTATATCATCCATATATGCGATGCAGATATTATCTAAAAGGCCCCGAAGAGCTTCATTAATGTATCCCTAAAAGGTCGCTAGGGCATTCGTCAAACCAAAAGGCATTACCAAATATTCGAAATGGCCATATCGCGTGCGAAACGCAGTCTTCCAACGGTCCTGTTCTGCGACTCGAATGCGATGATAGGCGTCTCGAAGATCCAATTTAGAAAAGACTTTGGCGCCACCTAGACGATCCAGAATTTCAGGAATCAGGGGAAGAGGGTACCTATTCTTCTCCGTTATCTTGTTAAGCCCACGGTAGTCAACACAAAGTCGTAGGCTACCGTCGGCCTTAGGCACGAAGAGAATAGGGGCACCTACTGAGGATTCACTCGGTTGAATCCACCCCTTTTCTAGGCTTGAATCAAGGTACTCGCGAAGGACTCGCAACTCCTTGCTGCTTAGGGGGTAAATAGGTCCATAGGGTACCGTTTCGCTCTCCTGAACAGGGATTTCATGTCGTGTCCTAGTATCGGTAGCGAAAGGGTCGCTACTAGGTTCCTGAAAAACCGACTCGAAGGGCTTTAGTCTCTCATCGAGTATAACTTCTAGGCGAGTCGCTTGCGATTCGCTTTCTTCTAGCGAGCCTTCCTCGGGAAGGGGCTGCATATAAGCTATCATAACTGAGTCCGTGTTCAACTCAGCCTATACCTTCGCAAGCGATATTTCTATCACCTGCGAGTCTCCTTCGTCTCCGAAGCTCCATGTGCCGCTTGACCAATCTATTCGGGGGTTCATGTCCCTTAACCAAGGGAACCCTAGAATAGCGTCATAGGATACAAGTTCTGCTGCAAGGAAGTCTTGGTCGAGTCGCTTACGAGTCCCATAGGAGTCAGCAATTTGAGTTTCTAGGCGATACTGCCCATAGACTCGAATGGATTGGCCGGCTACCGTGCGAACACGAGCATTGGGGTCGGTAGGGTGCGCCCCCATTTCGGCCACCAATAGGTGTCCCAAAAAGTTCGCTTGCGCCCCGCTATCGAGTAGCGTCTTTGCCGTTCGTACCCCATGGGGACCTATCAGCTCAATTTGGAGGGTGAGCGACTTTTGCGTATCGCTGTCTCCTGCGATTCCCTTGCCAGTATCCAGTCCTAGCGCTACTACGGCACTTAGCAGGCTGCTCTTTAGTTTTTTGATTGGCTCGACTCCTTGCCTTTGCCTTTCATTTCCTTTTTCACAGGCGAAGAGGATGCGTCACTCTGTTTTGTTGGACGCGACCAATAGTCCCTCGCCCTGTGGCCCTTTTTTCTACAGTTTCGGCATTCCCCTTCAAAGGGCGCTGGTTTTTCTTTCTCCTCGCCTGTCCGGACCTTCTTGCTTAGAGAGGGTGAGACTCGCTCAGTCCTCACCTACGACTTATATGTTGTTTTCTTTATCGTAGGAGTAGGACTTCTCGTGCTAGTCTCATGCTTCTCCCTTACGACTGTCTTCTCTAGGCGTTGTGCTGAGGCTAGGACCTGTGCTCTTGAAGTAATGCGCTCAAGGTCCCGTCGAACCGCATCCCGTAGGCCTAGTGTAAGGGCATGAAATAGTCTCCAGCCCTAGCGTTCATCCTCTGTAAGGGAGCCGATCTCCCCCTCTAGGAGTTCCATCGCATTCGCTAGATCTCGCACCGCTTGATGCGATTCTTGCTTGAGAGTCGCTAGCGACATGAGGGCTTCCCCCTTGCGCACATCAGCGTCCTTAATAGTGTCCTTACACCATAAGATAAAGTCAGTCCATAAGACAGGGAACGTGGCCGCAGCGTTACGATCTTGTCGCCATCGGATCTGGGCGCGATCCTCAAGGCCGTTGGCTGCGGCTCGTATGCGATAACCCCAATCTAGGACGATATGGGCAGGAATTGCATCGAACACAGTCTCCCAACCATTGCTAAAGTCGCGTAGAGCTTTCATGCTCTTCCCATTAAACTTTGGGGGAGGTTTCACCATCTTCAATGTTTTTTGTAACCATTCTTGGTCCTCTACGCCTTCCGAGGAGCTGTGGAGTCGCTTGCGACTCGGTAGCGTTGTGCCTTCGATTTCCATATACCGCGACGGTTCTCTACCGGCACTCTCCTCTTCCATTGCGAGGATTTCATCCCTGAGTCGCTTGCGTTTTAGGTCTACCCCGAGGCTCTTCTTTCTCCTTAGGAGTTGTTGATACTCCTCACTCTCTTCGTCCTCATTATCCGAAGAGCGAGGCGTATTGTTCTCGCCTGCGAGTTGCTGGCGACCTCCACGCGACTCAGGTCCGGCGTTGGTAGGTTG